TACTGTCTAAGGAGGATGAGATTAAGTTGGTTTAAGATGGTCCTGTGAGATTTTCTATGGCTTATAGCTTAGTATACAAATAGCCTTGGATAAGAAAAGTACATCAATTGCTCAATTTACCTCATCCTTGAAACTAATTATTCACTCATGTAAATTATTTTTTAATTAAAAAATTACATTAGAAGTATTTTCTTCTTCTTGTGCCATATCCGTTATCAGACGTTGGCGATCATGTTGCCGATCCTGTTTTTATCAGCAGCCGCATGAAAAAGTGCTTCTGAGTTTTGTCCAAACCAATCCCTTAGATTTTGAAGCCATGATGTTCTTCTGCCTGGACCTCGTTTGCCTTCAATCTTTCCCTGGAGGATTAAATGGAGTGTGCCGTATTTTTTTGGGTGTCACATCATATGTCTGAAATATTCTAATTTTCATTTTTTAATTATTTTGATGATTTCCCTTGGCTTTCCCAGGCGGGCCTGTAAATCCACATTTCAAATGCTTATCTGTATGATAGCCATGGCAACTAATGCATACATTTCAACTCTATTTTTGCATAGCAATGAATAATTTAAATCTTACAACAAGCTCAAGCCATATATACTTCAAGAAAAACAATCAGAATACTGATAATACTGATACCCATGTCACCAGTTGACTTCTCCCGGCAAGTGTTATAAATAGGAGGAAAGGCCTGCTTTCATTGCAGTCCCCCCCCCCCCCGATTAGATAGAGAAGACTTTAAAAATATAGATCAAACTAGATTCACATTTTCAAAATGCTCTTCTCTACTTAAGTGAGGAAGAGACAACCACATGGTATGGGTCATTTACTTTCACTGTAATAAGTCCCTACCACTTTCAAGCATTTGTGGGGATAGGTAAAGAATAGAACTTTTAATTTTGTCCAAAAGCAGATAATGAAATGGACTCCCTAAGAAGCCAGCTATCTCAAGAAAATGTTGATGAAAAAACCCAGCATACTGATTTGACCTCTACATTCAAGCCACCTCAATGTATTTCTTTCTTATTGTTTGCTCACTTTTGCATTCAGTCTACAAGAAATACATTTCTTAACACCTTCATTTTTCATCCTCTCTTCTTATATTCCCACACTTAAGTAACATTCCTTTTTTTTAAATACATTCCCAATGTATTTAACCTGTTGTTTTCATGACATTCCAAATTTTCACTTCCAAATAATAAAATGGACACAGGAAGGTCTTTTCAAGGTTTTTGACAAAACTTCGTTTCCCACAACAGAACAGATTAAACTCACTCCCTTTTCATCACCATTTGCACATATTAAAAATTCTATTTTCTCATTTTTAGTAAATATTGTACAAGTTTTTATCTACTTCATTTTTATAAATTGCAACTGGTCTTTGGTGCATTAACATTCTGTTATGTGGACTATGGTCATTAAGTGGCCTGTTGTTTCTTGAAGACTACAGAATGGAAAAGGTGTAAAGATTAAACAAGGCCATGAAAATATACAGTTTCAGTCATACTTCATCACTCACTGAGATCACAAAAAACCTCAATTGAGTCAATTATTCAAAAACCAATTTTTCAAAGCCTTTCTAAAGCAGTGCAAAGTTGAGGTTAAATGGAACTCTGGAGGAATGAAATTCCAGAGGGCAAGCATGGCGCCAGAGAAGGCATGCCTCTCGATCCTACAACATAGCACTCCTTAACAGAAGGGACTCAGAATATGCCCACTATATTAGATCCTACTGAATTGCTAGGAATACAATCAGGACAATTGAAAATGCTTTGATGAAATGATTTTATTCTGATATAAAGACCACATCACATTTAAAAAGTCTCACTGCCATCTTGTTAACTTTTTTTCTATTCAATTGTATCTGATTCTTGGAGACTGCATGGACAAGCCCCTGTCCTTTCTTGACAAAGTTTTTCAGAAGTGGCTTGCCATTGCTTCCTTCCTAGGTGGCTCTGTGTCTAAGGCAGGACTAAAACTCCCAGTCTCCCAGTTTCTAGCCTAATGACTTAGTCACGGCACCAATCTAGCTCTCACAGCTTTAATTTACTTTTAGTTGAAATTAATATGCATCTAAGTATCAGTATGTTTGCCGGATATTATGAAACTATGTACCACACATCTGAATACATCCCTGATGGCATTTGGATATTTGTATCCACTACCTAGTATACTGGTATATAGGAATTTCATCCAAGTTAAGTTTTTAATACGATTCTTAGTGATATTTAAGTGAATTATGATAATTATGTACCTGGGAATGAAAAGATGCTAAAGGTTTAGTAGAACTGTTCTTTTTTATTCATCTCTATCACTTTCATAATCGTTTGGCAAGATCTCAGTGGACAAAAGTAGGCATTAATTTCTTCAACTGGTGGTTGTAGAATTTCTACCTAAAGAACTGTAATGTTAGATGTGTGAAATTCTTGTATGTTCCTAGAATTAGAACTATTATCCATGCATGAACGTTTTGCACTGTTTGTTTCTCATTATTATCTTGGGCAGCGAAAGTTTCACAAAACATCAATGCAAATTGTTGGAAATCAAGTGACTCTTCTTCCCCAACACAAAACATAAAGGAGACCTCATGCATTCCTCTGAATTAGGTTAGGAATGACAGCTGATGAGCCTGGAATTTTTGTGGCTGCCTGCAAGAAAGGGAAAATCATTCTAGAATCATTTCTTATTAAGAATGGTCTGTTATCCATAAAGTATAAAAGGACATAAAATTCCACACAAACATTTTTTAAAAAGGAATGTCAGTGTAGTATAAAGATTTTCTACTGAGCCCACAGTGAAAAAGAAGATGGTAACAGTGGATCAGTCTACTGGCAGTACCTTAAAATACTCTGAAAATCTACCAGAGGAAAACAGTTTCATATTCATTCACTAAGAAATTCAGGGATATAGTCATGCCTACTGATTATAATTCTGGTCTAGCAACCCTGGTGCCTAGCAGCCATAATTCTGGTGTAGGAGCCATTGTGGGGCAGTAATTAGAATGCGGTATTGCAGGCTCACTCTGCCCACAGTCTGGAATTTGATCCTGATGGGCTCAAGGTTGACTCAGCCTTCCATCCTTCTGAGGTTGGTAAAACGAGACCCCAGATTGTTAGGGGCAAATATGCTGACATTGTAAACCAGGGGTCCTCAACCTTGGCAACTTTAAGACTTGTGGACTTCAATTCCCAGAATTCCTCAGCCAGCAAAGCTGGCTGAGGAATTCTGGGAGTTGAAGTCCACAAGTCTTAAAGTTGCCAAGGTTGAGGACCCCTGTTGTAAACCATTCAGAGAATGCTGGAAAACACTATGGAGCAGTATATAAGTCTAAGTGCTATTGCTAACATGTTTCACCAAATAACAGTATTTTGGAAATGGAGGAATATATGTATGCCCACTAGATCCCTGGTTCGTCAAGGGAATGCTCCCCTTTTGCAAGAATTGCATCAGCTGGAGAACAGTTATCATAAGAGTGTCCAATTCTCATAAACAGTAAAAACAATGACAAACTACCATATTCAACAAGAGATGTGCGCTCAGGCTGCTACTTCAGAGAAACGTCTGATTGAAACTACTACCGTACTACTATTCTTCAGAAGATGCCACTCCTGGCTTGGGGAACTGGAATTTGAATCCTGCTTGCAAGTTTAATGACAAAAGCATTCATTTTCTTCTCTTGCATGATTGTTGCTTAAAAGTTTGTGAACTCTTTTGTATGGTCAATATTTCTGCATAAAGCGATCCTACAATGTAAACTGTTCTCTACACAAATGCTAAAACTAGATAAAGGGAACCTAATTTGAACAATGAAATCCAAAGCTTTACTTATTCATTTGTTTATTGTTGAAGATGATCCAAAGCCACTTATTTGTGGGCAAAAGCACAGCACTTCAAATGGATCTTAAATGACCACATTCAACTGAACAGCCCCGCGTTAGCGCTGCAAATCCACATCGCTATCACCATAGTTTAGGAATGCTAACTTAATCTCATCCAGACCTCACGCCGCTACGTTTAAGTCGCCTTTAAACCCTTGTTTTTCTAAAGCAGGGCTTTTCAACCAGTGGTACGGGTACCACCTGTGGTACATTGGCACCTGGCAGGTGGTATGTGACCATCCTAGAAAAGTGGTAGCGGGGAAGGGGAATGAGCTGAACCGGTGGCAGCACCGCACAAGCCTGAGTGAGAGATGGCTGGAGCTGCAGGGCTGTCAGGGCTGAACGGAAGCGCCCAGATCAGTGCCGCTTTCCAGCTGATCGGCGCTTCTTCGGGACTGTCAGGGCTCAGCGGAAGCGCCAGGATCAGCGCCAGGCCCCAGCTGTAGCTCGGCGCTGATCCTGATGCTTCTGCTGAGCCCAGAAGAAGCGCCGATCAGCTGGAATGTTGCAGCATCTCCAGGGTCTTGTGATTTACATTCAGATGCTTGGCCACTGATTCATATTTATGACGGTCACAGTGTCCCAGGGTCATGTGAAGTGACCAACCACCCAGCAGACGGGGGGGGGGAATAAAAACCAAACACCCCCCCACCCCACCCCCAATCCTCAACAGAAACGCTCACAACAATGAAAACCTCGGACAGGAGGAAGAGCGTGGCCGGGTGGGCGGGCAGGTGTCTTGCTCGGCTGTGGCTTGGGGGGGGGCACTTGTAACTTTGAACAGTCACTAAGCGAACTGTTGTAAGTCGAGGACTACCTGTACTTTATCACTTTTTTCCTTTCTTTTTTTTGGGGGGGGGGTCATCAAGTTTTTGACACCTTGCTAGGCGACTGGTGGTACTCGGATGTTGCTATATCCTAAAAGTGGTACAATGGGTGAAAAGGTTGAAAAGCCCCGTTCTAAAGCAAATCACGCCTCGCAGACTCTCCTGCCGCCGGGCTCAACGTTGCCCGCTTGGTGGTCTGGGACTCCTCGGGCTGCCCCGGGGAAGGGCGGGGCGGAGCTGCGCCGGAGGAGCCGGGCGGGGCAGCCGAGCCGCCTTCGCCACCGCCTCCTCCCGCCCCCAGCCATGGCCGACGTGGAGGACGGAGACGAGCCCGGCATCTCTACTACTCACTCGGGTTCTTCCGGCGCCAAAGCTGGCGGCGTCGACAAAATGTTCTCGCTGAAGAAGTGGAACGCCGTGGCCATGTGGAGCTGGGACGTCGAGTGCGACACCTGCGCCATCTGCCGGGTGCAGGTCATGGGTAAGCGGAGTGGCGGCAGGCAGGCTCGGTCGGAAAGGAAGGCCGCATCTCCACTGTGCTCTCCTGGAACGGGAATGGGCCGCGCCGGGGCCAAGACCGCGTCGCCGCATTCTCCTCCACCTTCCCCGGTACTCTTCCGGGGTTTGGAGTCGACGATTGAGCGGCCCTTCCCCGATGCTAGCGGCGTTAATGAAGGAGGCCTTCGGGCGCCGGCAGGCGCTGTCGACACGCAGTCTTAGTTCAAAGGGGTCGGTGGGCATGTCCTTTCCAGGCTGCTTGCCTTCCCGGATTGTCTCTTCTTTTTTGCTCTACTCCAGGGGTAGTCAACCTTGGCTCTTTTATGACTCGTGGACTTCAATTCCCAGAATTCCTGAGCCAGCTTAGCTGGCTCAGGAATTCTGGGAGTTGAAGTCCACGAGTCATAAAAGAGCCAAGGTTGACTACCTCTGCTCTACTCTTTCGTCGTTTCCCCTTTCTCCTCAATTTAGTGTAACTGGTAGAAAAGCCAGGCTACGTTTGGGCCATCATTAATGCCTTCTGATATCATTTCGTGGGATGCATAAAATTAGATATTTCGGGGTGGGAAATCTATTTCCTATCCAACATAGCACAAGGTTCCTGGGTTCAAGAGGTAACTGAGAAACATTGTAAACCAATGATGCCAATCCCCACCTCTTTTTTTAAAAAAAAAACCACATTTAAGTATTGAGATATCCTTCCTAGGTACTGGATTTAGCTGGATCTTTAGTAAGCCCCTAATAGAGGCATTTTCAGGAAGCCCACAGTTAATATAATTTATTCATGTAACAAAACGCTTTAAGAGGTGTTCTGTAGCCTACGATTCGCAGTAAATCTGCATATGAAATGAACGTATAAAAATAACGACGATAGGCTTCAAATATATTTTTTAACACACAGCAGCTGAAATTGTAGAATGCACAGCTGCAGTGCTCAATTCATGTAAACCAAACTGGATCTGCTTGCTGTATGTCTTTTCATGTTAGTCTCTACAGTATTCCTCCTGGATGTGTAAACTTTTTCTGTTCCTATAAAAGCATAAGAAGATGGTAGTAACATGGTTTGAGCATATAGCTACGTTTGCACCACACCTCAAACTATGCTGTGGGGATTCAATTTGTATGATTAGTTTATGGCTCAAGTCTTTCACACTATGTAAAAAATTGATTAATTCATTAAATTGCAAATCAATTAAATATTGATCGTGTGAATTTATGTGTACTGAGTAATTCAAACAGGTCTTTGGTCAGAGTACAATGTGACAGGTATCTTAGTTATTTCTTTTCACTAGCATATGCTGATCTTTCAGGAATGTCAAAAAATATCCAAATTATATAGCTGGTTGATACTGTTCAGTTTCATTGTAGGAGAAAAGTTGTGTTAATCTATAGTAAGCCTTTTCCAAGTCTTACTATGGTTATTAATAACCATACTATTTTATATAGTGGAAGTGACTGCAACTCACAAAATATATGCCTTTTAATAAAATTTAGAAAAGGCTTATCAGGTTGCTTGGATCACACAAATCAGTACTCCAGTGTCAAAAGTCACATTTTGTGTCTTTAGGATGAATTTAGGTAATCTGAAATGTATGGTTTCCTGCATAATTAATCTTGTTATATATTTGTGTGCACCACAGGTGTATGTATTGCTCCAATATATTTAATGCATGGCACTTTGGGAAGTGATACCAAGTATCACTTGGTATATACCAAGAATTGGCATAAAATTAAGTATTATTAGGCACATAGTATATTTCTTTTTATAAACCTGTTGGTAAAAATAAAGGAAAGCCACATACTTTTGTTTGCTTTAATAACACTTTTATATTATCTTGTCACTGCCCTAATTTGATCATTCGTAAATCTTTAGTAACACCCCACATCCTATTAAAAAGAGAATTATGCTATGTCATTTTTGAAGCATAAGGGACATGCAGCTTATCAAATATATAATTATATTAATTTTTAATATACTAAATTATAATATACTAGTGTTTATATACTTTTATATAGTTTATATATAATTATGCTAGTTTTTAAAAGCTATCTGCAATTTAATTGAAAGTAGTAAAATTCATAACATAGATGAAGTTAGATGAATAGAAGGGCATGATTTAGGGTAAATTAGGTTATAAATCAGTTCATAATATAGTCTCCATACTCTGTAAATGTTTTTAGTGAATTGTAGATTATTTAGAAAGCTGCTTACTAATGTTGCATCTAAAATATAACAGTCTTGTTCTTGTTTACATCTAGATGCCTGTCTTAGATGTCAAGCTGAAAACAAACAAGAAGATTGCGTTGGTATGTTTTTGGTTGCTTTCTGTTGTTATTCGCTAAAAGGCTTTATCTTAGTGGGGGCCTTTTTAAAACTTCAAGCAAACATATTTAGTAAAGTGTCTCTTGAATATATTGTAAAAAACACTTAGAAATATTAGGTTAATCTGTATCGATACAAAGCTAGTTGCATTAGTATTTAATTAGAAAAATAATAGTTGCTACTTCTTTCCTATATCTGTTTTTTGTTTTTAAAAGGTTTTGTTGAAACAGTTAAGCATCATTTTAAACTAAAGAGAATAATTTCATTTCATAACTTATTTTCTATGTCTGAAGGAAGTTTCAGGATTTGGAGAGGATGTTTATTCAGAATCATTTATATGAATCATAGGTGGAACATTTAAAATATGGAACTGCCAAATTTAAATTAAAATAACTGTTAGGTTCTTATATACACTTAATGTTTTCCAACTGAAATTGATTCCTTGTCAGTGCTTAATTTATGGATTTGGGGGAGTTTGAAAACAAGTCTAGAGTGTTCCTACAATGCAATTAGATATCCAATAGATCTGATAAAGAATCCACATGTAAAGATTTAGTATGGCATGCATGTCTACCTCAGATGTAAAAATAATAATATGTGAGGAAGACCAAAAGATGCATGGTGCTCTTTCCCTTTCTCCCACACTTTCTGTGTTAATGGAGAAATTATTTACTAATGCTACAGTCTTACCCAGATTGTAACTGCTATACATACATATTTTTCTAATGACTGAAACATTGGATTTTGATGCCTTACACCTTGGCAATTTACAAAAAAAAAGCATTCTTTAAAATATATATATTACTAAATAAGACATGTGTCATGGTTCCGATAGATGAAACCAGTAAAAGAACTTCAAGGCAAGAATTCTTGCTTAAAGAACATTTTATTAGGAAACAAAGTATCGGCACTTACGTGAATGACTTATTTAACTAGTTAGAAGTTTCTTTAAACAAACCATTGATGCTTTATAAGAAGCCAGTAATCTGAAAAATGAATGGAATCATGGTTTGTCCTTTGTTCTAGTCATAGAGAAAGGAGCAGAAAAGGTGAATGCTAAAGTCCATGAAGACTTAGGGGCACTATGTATGCAGTTCATACATATTAACTGCTCAAATATATTGTACAATACTGTAGGATATGTAGGAATATGAAAAGTTCTGCATATTTACTCAGTATTTTTTTTTAAATTTAGGAATGTATAATGTTAAGAGCAGGGTTTACACTTTGAATAACATATTGTCTCAAGTTGCTTTTCTTTTTCTTTTAGTGGTCTGGGGAGAGTGTAATCATTCCTTCCACAATTGCTGCATGTCGCTATGGGTGAAACAGAACAACCGTTGCCCTCTCTGCCAGCAGGACTGGGTAGTCCAAAGAATAGGCAAATAACACTGTTTTCAGCTATTGCACCAAAATTGTTTGAAATGATATACAACTAATGGTATACTTTCTCTATGAAGGAAGTCACAGTGTGGCGAAATCCATCGTATTTATTTATGTCTACATAGGGACTTGGATTTGAAATTTTTGTATAAGTTTACTGGGTTTTTTTTGTCTAAAAATCTTCCATCAGGAACTTAGCTGCAGTATTTAAGAATATATGTAAATATTTAATATGAACACTTCATTGTTTGAGAATTATTTAGGACTTATAGATCTATAATTATTAATATGAGCAATTTCAGCTTGAAATATTGCTATTTTTCTCAACATGAAGTTATTAGTTAATAATTGAGGTGCATTGTTTTTATTTTGGTTTTATTATTTCTTTAGGTATTGATAAATGCTTGTTATAGTGCTTTAAGTTAAAATTGAATTGACTGCCTTTTCAAAGTATGTACTTTCTTCACACGCAATTAAATCTTTTATCCTTGTGAAATGTGTAAGTTATTTGTCCATAAGGTAATATATTTAAAATATTAATAGTTCATATTAAAAAGTTTAAACTTGCAAACATAAACTAGAAAGTACAATAAATAGGAAATTATATATTTATCTGTTTCATTTAATATTGGGGTTTTTTCTCTGGTAGAGATAGGCAGAATTTGCTAAAAGACAACATTTTCGAATTGACATCTAGGCTGTACATTTGAAAATAATAGTTTTGAAGTAGTTGGGGTTTATGTACTTAATATATCTATATCTTTTCCTTCAGCTAAAATGCTTTCAGAGCACCTGTGAGATCAATAAAAAATATAATTATTGCTTTCAGACAAATCTCATCTCCAAATAACAACAGAAGGGAAAGGAAAACAAGATAACTCACATAAATTCTTAATACAACTTCTTAATATTTGGGTTTTATGATTAATTGAAATGCTTCAGACATTACTTATTTTAATCCTTTTTTGTGACATGTTTTGCGACCTTACAAACAAAGTCAATGGGAAAGTCAGATTCGCTTAACAACCATTTTACTAGGTTAATAACTGCAATGATTCACTTAACAATTGTGGCAAAAAAGATCATAAAATGGGGCAAAATTCACTTAACAAATGTTTCACTTAGCAACAGAAATTTTGGGTTCAGTTGTGGTCATAAGTACCTGTATAGTTGTTTGACATCATAGTTAAAAAAGGACTTGCTTAAAACATACACAGAGAGAGGGGGGGGAGAGAGAGAGAGAGAGAAAGAGAGAGAGCTAGAACATTAAGCAATTTGACATAGTGCTTTGCACAAAGCATGCTTTGGCATTGTATTTGTACTGAACTAGCTTTGAAGTGATATTAAATAATTTTCTAATTAATTATTGTTATTTCTAAACAGCAATTAGCATTTATTGTGTTCAAATTAATATTATATTCCAGAAATGGTGTATCCATTGGCAACTGTTGTGAACATTTTGTATTCTTAAGTACACTTGCCTGAAATTATTGGAATTTTTTACTAGCATAACATCAGAGTGACAGGTAAATCCAAATGAGAACAAGAACATTTATCTTTGTATGGTGTTAATATGTACACTGAGCCCATTGGAAAATAATATGAGAGCCATTAAATCAAACAGTTTCTTATAATGAAGTGTGAGACATTTCTAAATTTAGAGATTGCTACCAGCTCCGTTTGTAATCCCATTAGTTCAAGTGCTGAATTAAAAAAAAATGCTGCCAAGAATTGTTTTTAATGTCAGCTACCAGATTTGTTCTAAACTAATGTGAGATATTTCTTTTCCTGCCAGGTTGTGAGAAATTGAGATTGTCTGGTTTGAACCATATGGACCTATAATTTATAGAATCTTTATAAATATTTATTTACATATACTTTTCCTAAATTTATTTGAATTCCTGTAAAGGAACTGTAGATGACAGGAGAAAGCCTTTAGTGGACTATAAAGACGCAGCTTATAATATTAGTATTTATTTGGATAAATTCTTCATAAAATAGGTCTAGTTTAAACTGAATTGTGATCACTAAAAATCATTATTCTTCCTTACCAAAATTGCTGTTTGAAAACTCTGAAGGCAGTTAAACTTTTGTGAATCCTGAAAATCCTATTTGGCTTAAAGACAGTTTTGCAGTTATGGTGGGCCTACTTTGCATAGCTGTTTTTTTAGAGTGTGCTATGGTGCCATGTGTTTTGGCTGGTTTAATGAAGATACTGATATCAAAACTGCTTTTAAAATAGGGAGTATATAGAATGACCTAGCATTTCTAGACATAAATTGTAGACTCGAACTGAGAAATGAACACTAGATGGTGGTGGAAGTAGTGAGGAGCTTTTCCTGGGATGGCATCCCTTTAGCTATAGATAGCAAACCTAAAGCTCCTTACAGAGAAACCTCTTACTAGCCATTTTCCACAAATGGTACATACACCTTAAAGGTATTAGTGAAAATCCTTCAGAGGTATTTAATACTGGAGCCAGCAGTCTCCCTCCTATTCTCTGAAGCTTATACATGTAACCGGGCAGTGGCACAAAAAAGCAAAACCCAGAGAAATACTGCAAGGTTCCCCAGTGTTTTTACCTCAGCAAGGTTTGCTACTCCAATTGATTGCTAAGATGTGTGATATGGGGGGACTTGATAATCTGATTGCCAACACAGCATACTTACAGGCCAGGAAGTCTGGAGATGTGGACGCCAAGGATATGCAAAAGCGGCGCAAGAGCATTAACCTACCTAAGGTTGAGGAATGTGTTGAAATCAAGAGTTTCATTTCTATGGACTATGAGAGCATTTGTGAGCAACAACCCATTGGCAAGACATTTTTCAAAGACTACGTGGCGACTCTGCCTGAATACCAGTTGGCCCAAGAATTCTTGGATGAAATTGCTGTTTGGGAAGTATCAGAAGAAAGCATCAAGAATAGTCTCCTAGAGGGCATGGTCAACATGTATCTGAAGAATGTTAGCAATACTTACTTGAAATATCTTAGTACAGACCTATCCAACAAGTGCCAGTCAGCCTCCGCAAATGATTTTGAGAACATCCTGCAGTTGGCCAGGGAAGAGACAAAAACCTTTCTTAAGGGAAAACCCTTTGAAGGCTTCCGGACCAGTCAATTCTATGAGAAATTCTTGCAGTGGAAAAGCTATGAGAAGCAACCTATAAATGATAAATTCTTTGAAGAGTTCCGAGTATTAGGCAAGGGAGGCTTTGGAGAGGTAAGGAGCAGTTACTTAATCTACATGCTGTGTATATAGATGAGCTTTGATACTTAAATAAATTCATTAGACCATGGGACACTAGCTATGTTCTTGCACAAACAAGGTTTCTTGTCATATATCCCTGTTTTAGTGCTTTTCACTGGTTATTTTCCCTGCAGTAATATGTATTCAGGAGCAATATGTAGCTCTCCCTTTAATTGGCTCAGAGTTGCTTATATGAAATCATCTTTTTATTTTTCACGGGATAGTAAATAATTCTATTATTTGTTTATGAAATGTATTCCTCACCTTTCTGCTTATACAGTATAAGCAGTTACGACAACTTGTAACAGGCAAGACAAAATGCAAAATATAATGTGTTACTTTTAAATAGTTTTAAACATATATAGTGTTATACTACTTATACTTTAAGTGTGTAGAAAGGCTAGAAGGATATATTCCAGGCAAGGGACCTTATTTTCAAGTTAGCACTAAAGCACTTCAGAATTGTCATTGCCATCTCTCTGCTTCCCGATATAAATGGCTCACTTGGACTTTTTCCTTTTGCATGGAACATGCTGTAGGTTTGTGCTGTCCAGGTGAAATGTACCGGGAAGATGTATGCCTGTAAGAAGCTGGACAAGAAAAGATTGAAGAAAAAAAAGGGTGAAAGTATGGCTCTTCTTGAAAAGGAGATACTTGAAAAAGTCAACAGTCGTTTCATTGTCAGGCTGGCCTACGCTTTTCAAAGTAAAACCGCTTTATGTCTCGTCATGAGCCTCATGAATGGTGGGGACCTTAAATATCACATTTACAATGTGGGTGAAAGAGGCTTGGAAAAGGACAGAGTCATGTTCTACTCAGCTCAGATTATCTGTGGGATACTGCACCTCCACTCCATCAAAATTGTCTACAGGGACATGAAGCCAGAAAATATCCTCCTGGATGATAATGGTCATTGCCGATTGTCTGATCTTGGTTTGGCAGTAGAAGTCAAGGATGGCAAAAAAATCACCCACAGGGTAAGTGAGAATTTACTGTGCAGGGTTGCAGATACAGTGGACCAATTCTCTCTATTTTTTAAGCATTGGATCCAAGTGTTAATTCTTTCAGATTTGTTCCTCACTAAATCTTATTTGCTAACTTTATTCTATGTGACAGATTGGTAAGACGTTTTGTTTAATTCAATATTTATACTGTATAGTGCAGCAGTTCAGGTACCATACTTTCTTAAAAGAAATCTATACCTGGTCAAAAGTTGCCATTTTCTTCCAAGCAATTGCATGTCTTCTGATTGCTGATAGAGAAAATAAAAGAAGAGGTATATTATACAATGAACCATTCATTATGCAATGAACTGTTGGGAAATGAAATATTAATGTAAATGTTACCTTTATTATCCAAATATAAAACATAATCTTTAGAAAGTTCTCTTGTACAAGCCCACTGCAATTAATAGGAATTACAGAAGAATATTAAAGTTTGTTTCAGTGTAAGAAAATAATAAACATTTTATTCAAATTGGGAAAGACAGATCATGCTTGGCCTTCCACAGATTGGTTTGCACAATATATAAATATAGGAAATGTAGGAGCAAGGAGGTTAATGAGGAATAGGACACTTGGAAACATGAAGATCCTTTATAACATAAGAAATTAATTGTCTTTCTTCTTAGTTACTGAATTTTTTATTTTCAAAAGCTTTAGAAAATTAAACTTGATTTTTCTTTCAGTCATGTTTAAAAGCGCAGAAGATAGTATTGACTTAGACATTAGTGCAGTAGCAAAGATTTTGAAGAATGATTTAGTTAAAGATTATTTTATTCACATTAGACTTTATTTTTTGTTATATCATTTTAAAAATCCTTTGTTTACTTGTGTATTTATCTATTGCATTTATATGGCCACTCATCTTGCACAAAGTGACTCTGGATGGTGTACAACAATTGAATGCAGCAACAAATAGATAAAAACAGGATAAAAAGTAAAAATTAAAATAAGAATATTATCTTTTTAAAAAATATATATATATACAAATCCCCAAGCCTGATGACATAACCAGTTCTTGAGAGATAGCAAGGAAGGACCAAGGTTAATGTTAGGGGGGGGAGGGGGAGAATGTTCCACAAAAAGAGCACCATGGCAGAGACAGTCTACCTCCTGGACCCACCAAATGCAGTATCCTGGCTGACGGAACCCATAATGTACCGTCCCTTCCAGATCTAATGGGAAAGGCTGAAGCAATCAGGGAGAGGAAGTCTCTCAGATAAGCTGGCACTATGCCTATAAGGGCTTTAACAGTCAAAACTAGTACCTTGAAATGGACCTGGAAACAGACTGACAACCAATGCAGTTCTAGGAGTACACATAACTGTCTGCACCACCACATTGTGCATTAATTGAAACTTTTGGATACTCTTTAATGCAATGGTCCCCAATCTTTACAGCTCCATGGCCTGGCAGCAGCAGTGGCAGCAGTGGAGGGGAGAAGGGATGTGGGTTGGGGACTCCTACTTTAATGAAGCCCCATGTAGAGTGCATCTACACTCTAACATAACCCAGTAGTCCAATTTTGAGCTGACTAGGGCATGAGTGACCATGAACAGTCTCCCAATCCAGAAATGGATGCAATTGGTGCACAACACAAAGCTGTGCAAAGGCCTCTCTAGCCATGACCACCACCTTCTCTTTGAGCAGGAGTCATGAACCTAGGCAGACCCCCAGATTGCCACTCCATCCAGCGCCAAAGATGGCACAGTCCTAGAACTGATAGGACCCAAACCCCAAAGCCATAATCTTGCTAGGATTCAATTGAAGCCTGTTGTTCCCATCCAGAGAGCCTCTAGGCACTGGGATAAGGTGTTCAAGGGCAGATATGTACAGTTGGGTATCATCAGCAAACTGAAGAAATAGACAAACTAGCACAGCACCATGTTATACACCCCAATCGCCTGAGCTGGTCCAGAAGGATATTATGGTTGATGTTATCAAAAGCCACCCAAGAGGTCACTTAGCACAAGGATGGATGCACAACTTCCATCTTCCCATGCCAGAGATCAATACAAATCATGACCAATGCCATTTCAGACCCAGGTCTGAATCTTAACTGAAAAGGATCCAGATAATCTGTTTTATCTAATGCCCTCTGAAGCTGTTTGCACAACCACTTTTTGTACAATCACCTTGTCTCAAAATGGGGAATTCGATACTAGACAAAAATTGTGCAGAATAGTGAGATCCAGCAATGGCTTCTGAAGGAAGGGGCAAACCAAAGTCTCTTTAAGAGGTAAAGAAACGATCTCCTCACTCAAAGAAGAATTAACCACTGATAGAACCCACTCATACACCCTGGGCCACTTTCAAAGCCAGGAGGGCATCAATCTAAAAAGCAGATGGTTAAATTCACAGTTTGAAGCATTCAGTCCATTTCCTCAGGTCCAACAGGTTCAAACCATTCCCAATAACCAGGCAAGACTCCACCACAGGCATCTCCTTTGGTCATGCAGCAAGGCCAGCATCCAACTGCAAGCAAATTGGAGCAATTTTATCTAGTATGTGCTAAACAAATTGCTCTCCATGCCCCTGCACAAGAGGGTTTGTGTCACCCAAAAGGTCGGTGGAGCACCATTCTGTGAATGCAATAAGAGTGGAGAAGTACTACCTTACTGCCACAAGGTAGGTTCTAATGGTGACTCTAACCCAGGCATGTCAAACCCGCGATGTCACGTGATGTCGCTCGATGTATTGGGACTTTTTCCCCATTGCCAGCAATGGGGTGGGTGCAGTTTCGACGTGACACATCCGACCCACGGGCCAGCAGTTTGACATACTTGCTCTAACCCATGTTTTCATTGACTTGTTCTTGGTTGAGTGCTAGTGATGCTCTAGATCATGGGTATCCAATCTATTGATTTGCCCGGGCTGCATTGAGTGAATAGTAGTTGTCTTGGGCTGCATCTAAAATATATAATATAATTAATATATATAAATAACAAATTTCCTTTATTTTTTATTATTTCTTGTGGCACCACATTACCAGCTGTCCAGGGCCACATGCAGCCCATGGACCATCAGTTGAACATACCTATTCTAGATGTCTCTTCTCTCATTTCAACTCCCTGAGTTCCTCCATAAACCACAGGGGAGTATCAGGATCCCTAAGAGAGGAGTAGTTAGCATGAGTGCAATCTAATTCAACTCCTCAGCCATCTCCCTGTTGCAAGCAGCAACTAAGACTTTGGATGGAACTTGTAGCAGAGTAACAGGAGTTCCCTCTGAAACCCATCTAAGTCCATCAAATTGTCAGGAGCAGACCAATCTAATGAGTCCACAATGGATAGCGACTCTAGAAAATCCCATGGAAATCAGGGTGTGATATAACCATGACAAAAGAAACACCAAAAACTCCCTCAATTTCAGATCACACAGCCACTGCTCTGATAGGAAAACCAGATGCAGAAAATGACCACTGTTCCATGTCAAGCTCTGCATAATCTTGGATTGGTCATGGCCATCATGGTAGCCATGAACTCTAGAACCACTTCTGAGAAGATACTTCAATTTTTATTTGCATAGAAATATGTGGTGTGACTATGTATATATTTATATGGTATATATCAAATGCTTATATATTATGGAATGTTTATATAGCATGAATGTGTAAATTGTTTACAAATCTGGTTAATATTTATTAATTATATTAATAAATATTTGTATTTATTTTCAAATTATGTGGATTCTTTTGTGTGTGTATGCATAGGGGTTTTTTTTACTTCTTGGAATTAGTTTTTTATGGTTTTGTGATTTGTTGTTTTGTTACTGCTGTGAGTCACCTAGAGTTGTGTCTTAAGATGGGCAGGCCTGTAAATCTTTTAATTAAATGAATAAGTCCATCCAGCTCTATTGGATGACCTCCCCCAGCAAAACTACATAAAAGTTAAATAACAAGGGGTGAATGCAGCAGCCTACATAGCCCGAATCATGACCGTGCTCTCCAGTACTGTACTCCTCCACTCGTATTTGACCCATAGAGGAAGTAGAATTCTAACTCTCCTCAGTGGTTCAGAAAGTGCTATGAAAGTGCCTATTATTAAAATATCTAAGTAATGTACCTTTATTGTATAACAGTTAAGTTTTATCCATTATTTAATTATGTAATATATAATTAAATAAATCATTTTTCATTGCATAGTCAGTCAGATGTTTAGACTGGATTTGGCATTTTGTCTACCTATCGACTCTTTACCAAGGATCTGGATTAGCAGATGCAGATGTTTGATGATGAAAAAGGTAGAGTTGTTCTAAATAAAGCTGCCTTATTAAATTTTTATTATTACTTAACCATTATTGAATTATACAATTATAATATGTGATGATCAGTGGTAATATTACAACAGCTATGAGTTCATAATTACTGCAGGGAGTCCTAATAGTGTTACACAGTTTAGAACAGGGGTGTCAAACTGCCGGCCCACAGGTCGGTTTCATCATACTGAAAC